GGTGGAGGTTCCATAAATACCTCTTCATGAAGATCACCATTTAGGAAGGCATTCTTCACATCCAGCTAATGAAGTTCCCATGAAAAATTTGTTGCTAGTGACAATAGAACCCGAATTGTGTTGAGTTTTGCTACTGGGGCAAATGTTTCTTTGTAGTCAATTCCCTCTTTTTGAGTAAACCCCTTTGCCACAAGTCTGCCCTTGTACCTTTCAATGGACCCGTCTTCCCTGCGCTTTACAGTAAACACCCACTTGCACCCAACAGTGCCCTTCCTCTCTGGCAGATCCACTAATTCCCAAGTTCTTGCTTTCATTAGGRCTTTCATCTCTTCATTCATAGCTTCTTTCCACCTTGGATCAGACACTGCCTCTAAGTACCTAGAAGGAACACGTACAAAGGAAAGAACAGACACAAAGGAGTGATAGGTAGGAGATAAATGTGAGTAAGAAACAAAATCAGCAATGGGGTGCAGAGTGGTACAAGAATGGATAAGCTTACGGAGAGCAATAGGAAGATCCAAATCAGAAGTATGTAAGTCAGAATTACCTCGGATTGCAGAGACAGATTGATTTGAGTCCAACTGGTTGTTGTCATGAGGTTGAGGGCCCTTTTTTCTTCTGTTGTATGTGAGTATCTCTTTATGTTGCCTACTGGAGCCTTCAGGGACATCTGCAGCATCAGGAGAAGTAACCAGCACAGTGGGAGCCTCACTAGGTTGACCCGGAATGCCACAACTAGGAGTAGCAGAAGAGGATGGAAGGCCCGAGGCAGATAGAGGAACAAAAAAGGAGGGAGAATGAGAATCCTCTTCCATCCCACTAGTCCCTCCCTGAAGAGGATTCTGAGAAGACTGAAAATAGGGTTGAGACTCAAAAAAGACCACATCTCTTGTGACATACTTTCTCTTGGAGACAGGATCATAACACTTGTACCCCTTCTGTGTAGGAGAGTACCCCAAAAATATTCCCTTCGTAGCCTTACGATCCAGCTTAGTCTTCTTTGGATCCTTCACATGTATGAAACATATACAGCCAAAGACCCGTGGAGGGAGAGGAAAGTCTAGAAGAGTGGGACACAAGACAGAGAAAGGGGTTTTCATACCCAATACCTTAGATGGCATCCGATTTATCAGATATGATGCAATAAGTACAGCTTGAGACCAGCATTGCTTGGGAACTTTGTGCTGGAATAGTAAGGCTCGAGCTGTCTCCAGTAGATGTCTATTCTTGCGCTCAGCAACCCCATTCTGCTGAGGGGTATGAGCACAGGATGATTGATGTAACATGCCAGCATCTTCCATGAATAAGTTCAAAGATTTTTCAAAATATTCAGCAGCATTATTTGACCGGAATTGCTTAATCTTCTTATCAAATTGTGTTTCAATCATCTTGCAAAAAGCCATAGTTATCCATGGTACTTCATCCTGTCCTTTTAATAGATAGATCCATGTGCATCGAGAATAGTGGTCAATAAAACTGATAAAGTAACGGAAGCCATCAATGGAAACAATGGGTGAAGGGCCCCAAACATCAGAATGAACCAAGTCAAAAGGAGCTCGAATTTCATTACTGGAAACTGGATAAATAGTTCTACATTGTTTTGACATTTGACATACTTCACAAATTAAAGTCTGACTTGAAACACCCTTAAACAATTCAGGAAACAACATTTCTAATGAAGAGAAAGACAAATGACCTAGCCTAGCATGCCACAGATGCAACCTAGCTATTGACTCCACACTCTCCGGACTACTRRYAGCAGATGCTTGTAAGRCTGAACCGATGTCTGCATCAAAATAGTAGAGGCCTCCATACTCATGACCACTCCCAATCGTTCTCCTCGTCAATCTGTCCTGAAAGACACAATGAGTAGGAAAAAAAAGGTTATACTACAGTTCAAATTTTTGGTCAATTTTGAAACAGACAAAAGATTTGAGGTAAGACTGGGAACATGTAGAACTGATTTAAGAGAGAGGTCCTTGCTTAGGTCAACCACCCCCTTTCCAGAGATGGTGGAGAAAGACCCGTCAGCAACTCTCATCTTATCCTGACCAGACAACAAATTATATGAAGAGAATAAGGAGGACATATGTGTCATGTGGTCAGTTGCACCGGAATCAATAACCCAAGAAGTAGAGTCAATAGTGCTAGTTGCAGTAAAGGCAGAGACTGTACCTGATCTGGCAAGAGAGCTGGAAGCAAAAGAATTATTCCTTAGACGGGCTAATGCCTGGCTAAGGACCTCTACCTCACTAGCAGTGAAGCCCAAAGCACCAGCTCYAGAGGAATCAACAACTTGCCCCATAGGAGAAGAAGACACTGTTGGTATATTCTGTGAGTTGTCACCATTGTTGTTGGTGACAAGATTCCCACTTGCCACATGACCTTTCTGTTGTTTCTTGTCCTTTCTCAATGCAACTGGTTCAGGTGAGGATACAAGACCCAACACTTTTCTTTTACATGTCTCTCACCACCACAATGAGTGCACTTAAGGTGCTTCTTGTCTAGATGTCTGTTTCCCTTAGTGGAGACYAGGGTTGAATGTTCTCCAAATTGTTCAGTTGGTTGAGTCTGAGAGTCAACTTGCATCTCCTTTCTCCTGACTTCTTCATTCCTCACCAGATAATACACATGGTGCAACTCGGGCAATTCATCTCTCCCTAGAATTTGTGACCTTATACCCTCATACACTGGGTCCAGGCCAGCCAAGAACTTAAAGGCTCTGCTCTCTTCAATCTGCTTATCATGTCTCTCCTTGTCCCTGGCATTTTCCCAATCCAATATCAGGTGA